AATTATATATATTAGGATTATCAACTTGGGCCTTTTATACTCTTGCTTCTAATCTTTTACAACAAATTACTTATTAATATATTCTGCATTTTTAAAATTCATCTCTCAGCTGGAATATGTCTTTGAAATTTTTTCTAAGAAGGATATATAGTTGGTTTACATCAATTAATGTCTTCACAAATAAAGTTAATGGGAACTAAAATAAATATAATGTAAGCATTTTCTACCTTAAAACTCTTTAAATGCCAGTCTTTAAGTATCTTCTAAATTTAAAGTCCCAAAGAAAAAGGCCAGGTTTTGTGTTTTGGTAAACTGTCTCATATTTTGTTATTTCTTTTAAAGTGTCTGTTGAATTCAAAATGACTGGGAAAATGCTGAGCCCGATACTTTCAGGTCAAGATCTCTTTATAGTAATTTATCCTGGTATACCCTGAATCAGTCAATCAATCAATGAATCAACTGATCAATCAGTCTTTCTCTCTTTTTAACATTGGCTCTTTCCAGTTCAAAAAAGTAAGGAAAGAGAAAAATAATTTTGTAGAGTTGAAGCCCCTGTTACCCATTACAGTCTCCAAAGCTTTAGAGGAAATTTCCTCTCATGATGCCATTATCTGGCCTATATTGTTGACACCAGAAAAATGAGCTAGGAAGCCTCCTTCTACCCTAACAAGTACTTCTGATCACCTCCTGCTTTTAGCATTCGTATTGCCTTCCCTAATGTAAGTTTCTACCAGGGAAGCTATAATTGCTTTCTACTTAGTTGCCCAGCATTTGCCTACAAGTCTCCTTCCCCTCTCTGCATGTATATGGATATATGCAAGCTTTTATATGCATGCATATACATGTGTATAGGAATATAGGTCATTTATATCAATGAATCTATTCACAAATGAAGTTAGTTGGGGATTAAACTGTTTGCTTCTTAAGATCAAACTCTTTTCCTGACAAGCAAGGACATTCCAATTTCATATTCAAATCCTATTTTGTAGGTAAGATGTGTGATTCATTTCTCCATGACTATATCTGTACTCCTGTTCTCAGTACCTTTACTTATGTTCTGCTTAATGTGATTGCTTCTCCTATCTTACCTTTCAAAAGACCACCCACCTTCCAAGAATCAGCCTTCATGACTTTTCCATGATTACATCTGCCAGAAACACTTCCTCCTTACTTCAAATTCTCAAGGTCTTTTACCTGTGTTCTAGATTTTTGGCATACTTTTCTTGTCCTTGCAGCTGGACTTTATTGCACAAATGGCAGGGACTATGTCCCATCATCTTTGAATCTCTCATAACAAGACAAAACAAGAGCTATCAGCAGTAGCTACCAGGAGTTTGTTTTGTTTTGTTGAGGTTCTGGAGATTGAACCAGGGCCTTCACACTGAGCTACACTCCCATCCCTTTTTATATTTGTCATTTTGAGGCATGGCCTAGCTAAATTGCTAAATTGCCCAGACTGAGCTCTAACTTGAAATCCTTCTATCTCATCCTCCCACACTTCTGCCATTACAAAACAAAACAAAACAAAACAAAACAAAACAAAACAAAACAAAACAAAATGAGCTCCTGATAGCGTTTGCATATCAGAGTTCTCCATATTGCATGACTAGACAACACTAAATAGTCTTTTTGTCAACTTAAATATCCAGAAGACAACAAATTTACCTTAGAAGGTCTCATTCTAGAACTGTTACCTGAACTGTTCCCTTAATAAGTGAAGAAATTCCTTTATTTCATCCATATGACTGAAGCTAGGGAGATGTGCTCCAAGTGCGTGGCAGAACCTTTCAGCTTCTTCCCAGTTCCTTTTCCTCGTAACTCTTTCTATATGAAATACCTTAATAAAACAGAAAGTTGATTTGTTTTCTGCAATAACCATAAAGCACACTTTTAAAGTCAATGACAGTCAAATGTGGGAGCCCTTAGAACATTTTTGATAGGCATAATGATGGCAAAGATAAATACACATATATACTTAGACACAGATATGTCTTGTTCAGAGTGTCACTGAAGGCCTGCACAGGTGTCCCACTGTTGTGGGATGGGCTCTGGTTATGACTGATACATTCTGTCAATGTGAGTTGAATAGTTTAACTAACTCAGCCATTCTATATCCTAGAGTATAGAGGACCTGCCCTAGGGTGGCTCTTTAGGCTCCAGGATGTTGTAGGGGTTGATTCATTGTGTCAGCTTGAGAAGTTTAGAAGTGTAACTAAGTAACTCAGCAGGAGGCCAGGGTCCTCACTTTGTAAACATCTTTAGCCTGTCTAAGAGGAGGGCATGGAGATGATAGGAGTGCTACACCTGCCCTAGGGTGGAAAGCCTGCATACAATATAAGGGAGGAAAAGTGGCTTGCCACCCTTTTTTGATCTGGTTGCTTTTGCTGTCTTCCACTGCCATGAACTGTTGCGTCTCAGCCATGCCACCATGCCTTGGAGCCAGATGATTATGGACTGAAACTTCCATAAACTGTGAGCTAAATAAACCTTTCCTTCTTTAATTTGGTCATTGGGTACTTTGTCTCAGCAATGAGAAAAAAGTAACTAAGACACCTTTTGAAGCTAGACTGGGAATATGTTCCAGCAAGTCACCATGTTTTCATGTATTTCTAAGACCTTGGAAGATAAAATGAACTCAAGCCAAGGTTATAAAGCTTATATATGAATGTTCTGGGAGTAGACATCTTCAAAGAACTATGCTAACAATATAATTCTAAACATAAGATAGGGATAGCCACACAAAAATAGAACTATTTTTGGATGATGAAAATCAAAGAGCAGTCTGCACTAGTGTGTAACACTAATAGAAGGAGGCAAAATAAAACCTGACACTTCAGGGTGTTTCTTTGGTTTGGGATGATTAATTTTAGGCAAAAAGAACTACAGCTATTTCAAACAAGAGGAACAAAGGAAGAACTAGAAGGAGAAGATGGTGTAACAGTGGGTGATTGTTGGTTCCAATTCTTTAATTCCCTATAATATAACTACATATTATTGCTGTGGCCTCTTGCTGGGTGGACTATACATTTCTGTATCTTGATGTAGAGCTTGGCTTGGCTTGGACAAAGAAAAAGCAATGGAGAAAGAGAGGAAACACATACTAGGATACTAGAAAGACAACGCCATTAAATGGTTGATGAGAAAGATGATGCAATCAATTGGACATTAGTAGAGGTAAAGGCAAGCAGATGCCTGAAATGTGGTTGGGTTTGCCTTTTCCAGCTTCTGAGAAGGATTTACTATGAGAAAAACACTGCCAGGCAAGTGTGGCAATGCATGCCTATAATGACAGAACTCTGGGAGGCTGAGGCAGCAGGATTTCAAGTTAGAGCTCAGCCTGGACAATTTAGTAACTTAGCTAGACCCTGTCTCAAAAAAAAAAAAGGACTGGGAATATAGCTCAGTGTGAAGGCCCTGGTTCAATCTCCAGTACCTCATCAAAACAAGAAAAGATGGCCAGGGATTTAGCTCAGTGGCACAGCGCCTGCCTGGCAAGCGTGAGGTCCTGAGTTTAATTCCCAGTACTGAAAAAACAAAACAAAAACAAGACAAGACAAGCTCCTCATACCTACTGCTCCTTCAGCCCGAGACTTTGAGTGAACAGAAACAGACCCCAAATCATAGCACGGAGCCCAGCCGAGGAGATCTGCAGCTGGATGCAGAGTTGACTATTCAAACATGATCAGTCAAACCCTAGCTGCCCTGGAGATCTGCTAACTCTAGGCTCAACATCACTATTCCTGAGATTTGGGGTGGTGTCTAATGGTTTGTATGTGGCATTAACGTGATATTAACTCCAAATTACCTTTTTTTTTTGCATAATAAGAAGCAATGACACTGTTAATTTGGCAATAAGCACTGGAGGGACACGAGAATCATAAGCATGGTGTCAGCATGCCATGCAGCTCACCCAGCCTCCCAGAAGGAAAGAACCTGGGAAGAAGCCACTTCTGGCTCTGGTTCTGCTTTTGCAGGTGGGACACAGCAGGGTGTGGGGCTGAGCTGCCTGACATGAGAAGTGCATGATGTTCTGTCAAGCACTCTGCTCCCAAGCACCTGTTAGGTTATATGGGTCTATGGGAGGAGCATACTTTGTAGGAGGACACCAACTAGGATGGCAGAAAGATAACTCCACTGAAAGACGGAACTAGAATGTTACTTTACCTTATAACAAGAATGACTGGAGGGGAAAGTATGCCAGCCTTCAGGACAGGGGCCATCAGGCGTGGGGGCTGCTTCTTCAGGTTCCAGGCGTCTACTTATTTTCTTGCAGATTGAAAGTGCTCTGAAGTTTCTACAGTTCTTCACTTCCCACCTGCCAAGAGACTTTCCAGTAGACATAGCCACACACCCACCTGGAGATGCTAGGATGGAATTGGAAAATTTCATTAGAAACTAAAACTTTAAAATCAAGTTTCAACATTTTTTAGTGTATACTTACTCTCTTTATCTGAACCAAGGTGGAGAGAGAGAATAGGAAAAGCAATTGAGGAAAGAGAAAATAAATATGTTGTTCAGAATAATAATGCTGGTGATGGGTATTATGGAGAAGTGTTTACTACATGTCAGATATCTTCTAAAGGGATTAAGGTTATCCTTCGAGCAGTCTCTAGGGTGTATCCTATTGACATAACTGAGGGACAGTGAAGACTAAGTGACCTGTCCAACTCACACTATTAGTAAGCAGTTGACTTAGGATTTGGAGTAGTCTGCTTCAAGGGCAGTGAAGCCCAAATCACTACGCTGTTCAGGACAGTGGTACAGATTAACTAAACAATGCTGAGCAGGTTTTAGGCAATCTGGTAAACTTTAAAACAAAACCCTGCTAGATTCAGGTCCAAAGGAAGGGCTGAGAGAAGAATGTGGAAACATACATTAATTTATTATTTGTTCTATGGCAGTCATAGTTTTATTTGCTTACAACAGCATAAAAATGTAGCTTGTGTTGTCAGATCTGTTAAATGAAGATTAAATGACTTGCCCATAACTGTATGAGAGTTAAGATTCGAACCCAGATTTGTCAGTCAAAAACTCCTATTCCCATATATCATACTGCCTGAAGGGGTAGAATACAGGAAAGAGACACACAGATTGGAAAGTAACAGACAATTTCCATCCCACTAAACAGAGAAGCCATATGGTCTTGCATCTTACATTTACACATGGGCAGGATGAGGAAGAACGAAATGAGAAAAATGGTGCCATGCCACCCTGGACAGGGATGCTGTTTCCCTCCATTCTGTACCCCTTTCCATGGCTTGCTCAGGATACACCAAGCTGGGAATTGTAATGGCAAAGAGAGCTCAGGGGCAGCCTTCCTGACTACCAAGCTGAGGGAATATTCATGACCGCTACTTCCTGAACACCTCTCCAAACACGTGGTTCATCCATCGAGAATGTAGCACTTACTCTAAAATGATTGAGTAAACCTAAACTACAGATCTAAGAAAACACAGATGTAAAGAATTCATGTTTTATCTGTCAGAATATTTCTAATGTAAGTGAGATTTAACCAGAATTAGCATTGGTAGCCTCTATGTTCCATAACTAAAAAAGATGATTTTGCTATTATTAATATCATTCATGTTGATGAACATATATGCAAATTTGGTCAGTATTATTTCAAATATTAGATTCAATTATAAGATTAAGGTTCCAATTTCCATGTTATAAAAAATGGTCTACATGATCACATTAGGTTAACCCAAGGAAATAGAAATAATTTGAAAGGAGAAAAGCAAAATTCTGTAAAACTTCTGCCTTATTTAAAGCTAAAGTCCTCTAAAAATTACTGGCTTAGAAATTAGGAGATCTGAATTTTACTAACTCATAACTAGATGAACTCTATCAGATAAACCTTTCTAAATATTTTTTCAATGCTAAAATCACAAAGGGCTTCTGAGGCACTTTCAGTGTCAAATATATGTCAAACTGTGATTAACACTTCATGCTGTTTGGAGAAAGATGAACTTTCAGAATAAACATTACCTACAATATATTGACTTCTTAGTTCTTACTGAGAATAACAGGGGAAAAGATTCAATTTTGGAGAGTGAAGAAATAGAGAGATGAAATTGCACAGCACTTCACAAGAAGCTTCTAGATTCTGTTCAAGAATAAACACAAAAAAAGATTAAGGAAGTATGGCCATTTTCACAATGTTGATTCTTCCTATCCATGAGCAAGGAATATCTTCCCTTTCCTGAAATCCTCTTCAATCTCTTTTTTCAGAGTACCGTAGTTTTTGCTTATAGATCTTTTACTTCTTTTGTGAGATTAATTCTTAAATATTTTAATTTTTTGGATGTTATTGTAAAAGGTATAGTTTCCTTAGTTTCTCTCTCAGTATGTTTGTTGCTTGTGTATAGGAATGCTATTAATTTTTGAGTGTTGACTTTGTATCCAGTTACACTGCTGAATTTGTTGATTAATTCAAGGAGTCTTCTGGTGGAGTTTTTGGGGTCCTCCACGTAGAGTATCATGTCATCTGTGATAATGATAATTTCACTTCTTCCTTTCCTATTCTTATTCCTTTTATAGCTTATCTGAATATCCAAATTGAGGATATCAATATGTAATACAACAACCATTGTTAATTTCCTATCACCTTGTCTGAGATTCTGTATTGCTTACATTGTTTTTGTGTTATTTTCTAAGTGCATGTGTTTGTTAAGATGTTTTCATTCTTTTAACTTTAAACTTTAAAAAAAAAAGATTAAAAAGCTTACATTAGTGATTCCAGCCCTGGGTTGTCAGAGGTGGTTTTGGAGAACTGGTACCTAACTTCTTTCATTGGTTTATTCCCAAGGATTTAATAAGGAACACAGAGTGTGAACTTCTACTTCTTGTTTCATAGACTCCAGTCCTGACTACCATTGATTCCCTCACATTTCAAAAGCAAGTGAAGAATATATGTAGGAGGAATGTTATATTTCACTAGTTACTGTTGTATTACTTTAAAGGCTCAGACACTCACCCGGCTCAAGAAAATTCCAGTTGGAAAAGGTTACAGCTTGTTTTATTCCACCAGTTGTTGCCCAACTATATTCTCCACGGGAATCTACATCTCTCAGGCCAGTCCAGAAGTATTTTCGAAGAGATTTATCATACTTTTTCATCATATCATTCAGGTATTCTTGTTCAAATCTATAAAAGAAGAATCAAATTGGCAAATGTCTCACAATCATGAAATAGCCCTTTTTTCTTAGGGAGATTCAGAGTTAAACCAGGCATGGTGGTATATGCCTAAAATCTCAGCACTCTGTGAGGCTGAGGCAGGATCACAAGATTCAAGTCTTGCCTGGACAATTTAGTGACTTAGCAAGACCTTGTCTCAAAAATTAAAAAAAGCTGGGGATGTAGCTCATTGTGAAGGTGCTGGATTCAATCCCCAGCACTGCAAAACCAAACCAAAACACACCTCAGGGTTAAAAGCTTATTAGTACACATTTAGTGATGGTCACACCTGCTAGTGATAGTCAGGTTGCAGTTCGTTCCAAAAGGGACCTCATCCTTGTAAATCTTGTAACAGGTTTCTCCATGTCTCTTCCAGCCCTAAACCAGAGGAAAAATATTGTCACACATGATGCTGTCTCCTTCCAGCAAGGAAGTTTCTGTTACACTAATGACATCTTACAGGCTGTGGGAACTGAGCAGATAGTCAGCATGTTCCACACATTGTAAGGATGGGATGTCACTTCATAGATACCCACCACATAACTATGAGCCTGTGCCAGAGAGAAGTAAGCATAATTCTCTTTAGCCTGAGTGCCTGGCTCACCATAAATTGTATACCTATTGGTTGAGTTATCCTGAACAGAAATATTATCAGTGGAAGAGGTAAAGGTATCAGCATTGAGCATAGTAATCATTTACATTTTTTACAGAAATTCACAAATAGGTAAGTTTTTTGCTATCTGTAAGAATGGCAATACACTATGATTTCCTGACTTCTGATCCACTCTAATGTAAATGAACGGAGCTGGTGATTTCTTCTACTTTCTAATTCTGGATTATTTATATTTCAATAACTACAGTACCTCTAACTAAGAAGATGTAATTCTGTGTAGGAAAACTTATAAAGGGATTTTACACACCTCAGCCAGAGGACACATCTTATCGGACTTTGTATCATTCACTTTTTCTCCTTTCTTCTTACATACGTATTTAAGTTTCTCTTCACACGACTGGACTCTCCACTGACCTAGCTTTTAAAAGAGAGAAAAGTATTTTCTTACAGAAGAGATGACTGGTCATGTTTCGAATTAAAGTCACAAAAACTGTGAGGGAGTGGGGAGAGCGGGCTGTGGCTGACAACCTCTTATCTTAGGATGAAGCCGCAGTGTGGACGAATTTCATCTTCTCAGAGGCATAACAGTAAAACCCCAGAGGACACATAGTCTAGAGGCTGAAGAGGTGCCAAACCACTGCCTTAGTGTACTCTAGTCTTCCCTGTGACACAGCCAAAGCCCATTCACAGGTTAAACTCTGGGGCACGTGAACCTTCCTGTCTCAGCCTTCTTATGTGCTTACGGAAGATGGTGGTTATAAGAACTACCCTTTAAGAAGTCTAGAATCAGAAGTTGGTTTTTTGAAATTTTAACTCTATGTCAGACTAGACTTGAAAGTTGTCTCTTTCAAATTAAAATTAATTTTGTTTCATTGCTCAGTCACTTTTCTATCTTGTAACAGAGTTTTAATAGATGAACTGTGGGGCGAGTCAATTCTGAACACAGGAATGCTCTCTGGGTGATGCGTTTAGTTCACTCTTGCCCATGGGACTGAACGTCCCTTTTTTATAACTTTTATAAAAATTCTGTTAGTGCCGAGTTGTACCTGCATATAACATACTTTGATCATTCATTCCTCCCCCGCCTCAGTCACCCGCCCTTTCCACTTCCCTCCCCATCCGCTTCCTTTTCTCCAATTGTCTCTCTTCTGCTTTCATGTGTTTTACTCTTTCTCTCTTCCCTAGCTTTCTCTTATGAGAAGAAACATGGTATTTGACTTTCTGAGTCTGGCTTATTTCACTTAATATGATGATCTCCAGTTCTAGCCGTTTTCCTGCAATTAACATGGTTTTGTTTTTCCTTTATGGCCAGGTAACATTCTATTGTTACATCTACCACATTTTCTGTATCACTCATCTGTTGATGGGCACTAAGGTTGTTTTCATAGGTTAGCTATCATGAATCGAGCTGCAATAAACATGTGTATGTTGACTTTAATTCTTTTGGGGGTACAGATAGATCAAAAGGCAACTCCATTTTTTAGGTTTTTTGTAAAACTTCTATACTGCCTTCCATAATGGCTGCTGTCTTAGTTACTTTCTTATTGCTGGGACAAAATACTCAGTATCCATAAGTTAAAGAAGGAGAGGTTTACTTTAGCTCACAATATGTAGAGGTTTCAGTCCGTAGTTGGCTGGCTCCAAAGTATGGCAGCATGGCAGAGGAAAGAGATCATGGCATGACAGGCAGAAAGCAGCAGCCTTCTCTGTTTCTCCTTTTACTCTGTCTAGGCTACAAGCCTACTGGTTGATGTCACCCACACATGGGGCGGGTCTTCCACTTCAGTAACTCCATCACCTACATCCAGAACCATGCTAAACTGAGCAGTGAATTAATCCTACCATATCACACACCCATGATCCAGTCACTCCCCAAAGCCCCATCTATGAGTACATGACATCTCATCTTTTGGGGCACACCTAGAAGAATTCCTTTCCCCAAACACCCTGGCCAGCATTTTTCTTCTTTTGTATTCTTGATGATAGGCATTCTGACTGAAGTGAGACAGAATCTCAATGTACTTTTGATTATCTTTTTCCTAATGGCTAAAGATGTTGAACATTTTTCATATACTTGTCAGTTATTTGTATTTCTTCTTTTGAGAAATACATTTACTTCTGCTCATTTACCCATTTGTGATTTGCATTTTGGTGTTAACTTTTTGAGTTCTTCATATATTCTGGATATTAGTCCTTTACAGGAAGAGTCACTAGCAAGGCTTCTGTCCCATTCTGTAGGATGTCTCTTCATGCTGTTGATTGTTTATTGTGCAGAAGTTTTTAATTTGATGTATTCTCACTTGTTGATTCTTGCTGTTATTTTTTGTGCAACTGGAGCCCTATTCAGGAAGTCTTTGTCTGTGCCTATGACTTTGATTGTTTTCCCTGTTTTCTTTTAGGAGTTTCACGGTTTAGGTCTTATATTTAGGTTTTTTTAGGATCCATTTTGAATTGATTGTTTTACAGGGTGAGAAATAAAGATCTAGTTTCAATCTTCTACATATGCTAGATAATCTTTTAAATAGATCAACATTCTCTAGATAAATCATTGCTATTGAAACCTTTCTAAATATATGTAACATTTATTGCTTCCATTTAAGTCTCTCTAGATGTCTAGATGACACAGCTACCCTCTCAATTAGAAAAAAAATGTCCATAAGAAAGTGATAAAAACAAAAATATAAAGGTACAGATATCCTTTATGCTCAAGCTACAACCTATTTTGAGCTGTTAAATATGTTCAATACATGTTTATGCAACCTACAAGAGAAAAGTATTTTTCTGAACCAATTTAATTCTAATTTTTAAATTAAAATATTTAAATAGTTTTATTTAAAATTGTGATGTTAACCTTGATGATCAGACTGACTTGCTTTGGGGATGCCTGGAAAAGCACCTGTTCAGGTGTGCCGGGGTGGGTCACAGGCACACCTTGGGAACTATATGTGGTCCCTGGCCCCTACTGTTCTGGTGCTCTTCCCCTACTCTCTGCTTCCTTGATGCCATGAGTTGAGGAGTTTTTCTCCACCATCCTGGTCAGCATGATGTTTCTGCCTTAGAGTCAGCCAACCACGGACTGAAATCTCTGAAAATGTGAGCCAAAATAAAACATTTTCTCCTTTAATTTGATTATGTCAGGCAATTTGTCCTAGCAATGAAAAGTGACTAATACAGAAGTTAAGTATTAAATACCATTTCACTTAATTCTCAAAGAAGGATTAATATAAAATTCAAAAATGACAATATGGGACTTTTCAGGTTTCCTTGTGACTACCTGCCAAATATCACACTGATGGCAGAAATGCAGATGATGACTCTGCTCCTGAGAGAAAACACGTTACTAGAACCAGTGTGCACAAGACTGTGAGTTTGAAAGAGATTCTCTATCTGTTTCAGACAAAGCAAATTGTCTCAGATAGGAAGTGAGTCGTTTAGTTAGGAATTGCTTTTATTTACCCATTTTTCAGCAGCTATCAGAAAAACGATCTACAGGGCTCTTACTTCTTATTTTCTTTCTCAGCTTACACATAAATACTTTATCCAAACTAATCTTAATATTATCATTGAGGATAACAGTAAGACTATAAATAAACCACAGGATGTTTTGTACCTTTCCTAAATATGAAACACAGTTGGGTGTCTCATTGTAGGGAACTTTTGGCTCATTTTCATCCCAGTACGTCAGAGTAACTTCAGTACCATCTGACCACTGAAACAAAGTTGGTATATTTATGTTCTTAAGGCCTGTCCATATTTCTTCTTGGGTATCTAAAAGAAAAATGTGTTATTTTGTTTGGTTTTCCTCAATTATATTTTTCAATATGTATACTGTTACAGAGTTTTGCCTTCCCATATGGGTTTTAAGAATCTTTATAGTATTCTTAATTAGCCTATTAAAGCGTTCAGGAGGGAGGCAGGTTGGACAGTGAAGGCTCTTCCTGTTACTGACACTCAGAAAGAACACGGGACCCGGAGCGGGACTAAAATTTCCAAGCTGGGTGTTCCTGACCTCCGCATAGATAAACTTTGCTGTATGCAGATTACTGAAACTCTATAAATACAACCACAGATATTCCAGTTAGAATAGAAATATTGTTCTCTGCTTCCCATGAACAACTCCACCGACTTCACAGAAGGCACCATGAGGTATCTACTATTACCTGTTATTATTAGAGAATCTTAGGAAGAGGGCGTAACACCAGTGGTTTAATATAGTTTTGTTTACTGGTCTTTGATTCTCAAATAATTACAAAGTGAAATAGTTATCATTTGTTTTTGAAGAAACTTAAAATGAATTTAGTCTATAAGAAAAGGGAACCTATTCAATCAACAGTTGTACTGTCAAATTAGTAGCCATTAGGCATATGTGGCTATTTAAACCCAAATGTCAAGTAATTAAAATTAAATACAAGCAATAATTCTGTTTATCATTTCCCAATCTCTATTTCAAGTGCTCAAAAGCCACATGTGGCTACTGGCTACTGGACTGGACAGGGCAGAAAACAGACCAGTTCCATTATCACAGAAAATCCCGCTGGACGGTGCTAATCTGTAGGATCAAACCGTAAGCTTTCATTCCCACTAAAAGTCTGAAAATGGGGATATTTTAAAATGTCTTAATCCTCTCAAATAGGATGTTTTAAAAAACTTACCTCCATTATGGAGTTTTGTGACAACCACCTCCACATCTGCTAACGAATGAATGCTGATGAGGTCACCACCGAAAGCTTTGCATTTTATTTGTGCCTCATCCCAGGAACCACTTTCATTTACTAGTAGATAGCAAAATCCATTATTTGGCAGCCAGCCTGCATCACAGCGGGTATCTGAATACGTCCAAACATCTGGGGGAAAAGCGGCAATTTATATTCCAGTAAAGATATTGCTATTTTGAATAAAAAACATTGCAAATTTTTCTGCCTTGAATCTAAAAAATTCTGGAAAACCAGGCAACATAATATCAGATACTAGAGTGACATAAATTTATGTTGTCCCTAATGTACACACGGCACGGTAAGAATTCCTGCAAGGATTCAGATAACGATGTGACCTTACTGTGATACAGACATGCTACATGGCTGGGCATGGACTGCTTAAGGGGCACAGGTACAATAAAGGGAGGGACTGCCCTTAGCTCTAACAGACAGAAGAAAGGGGTGGGGTAAGCCAGTTGCTGACAAATCTTTTCCTGGGTCTGAGATTTGTTAGGCTCCCCTCCAGTTTCTGCCTTTGAAAGGATTATAATGAGGCTGACTCATCTCTCCTTGAATGATTAGGTCACCAAGGAGATGTGCATTAATGTTCAGTATTGAGCAAAGGACAGGCAGAGATTTAAGGAACAGAATAAGACATCTGTACACTTCACATTCAAGAGATGGCAACAATGGAGAAAGAGGGTGAAGGGCACCTCCGGACTTCTCTCCTTCCCACCCTGTTGGCCCCTTTGTCCTCATGTAACTACCAATTTTTGGTTTTGACTATGATAAAACTCACAAATGAAGGTCTCATCTCTCTAGATTAGAGAAAAAGATCCAGGGACAAAGCCATACAAAATACTTCTACCCTTGTTAAAAAATTAGAAAACAGTTTGTTTACTCAGACTTCACTGACTCAGAACCACTTTGAACAACTGATTTAAGAAAACAGCATGTTAAAAATTTGGACAGTTTATTTTTTACTAACGGGTGAAATTCAGGCTCATCTAGCCTCTCACGCTTGCAAGATAACTAAATTAACTTTTAGATTCTGAATAGCACTTATTATTACTACTCTGTTTTACAATTATGATAAAGGAGTGAAGGGGGAAAATCATGCATAATTGAATTTAAAACAATCATTTTCATATTCTAGTCTTTGTCTCTGTGAATAGGTATTTTTATAAGACTAAAATGATAAGTAGGCATATCATTTTGTTCAGCTCTTTGTACTTTCCTGATGGCATAGTTATAATAAATGCATATTATTCAATCATGTGGAAACAATTTACTTAATAATTGCTACTTTGAGGTATTTACTTAATCTATTGTTGGTTGTTCTGGTTTATTTTCATTTGTGCTCACTTCCCTATTATGCTTTTTGTTGTATGGATTACATTTGGTTTGCATTAACTTGGAAGATAAGCGTTCATTTTCCCTGTTATCTTAAAACAGTTCCTTATATCATTTATTTGATATAACTTTTTTCTTAAAAAAAAAAGATGCTCTGAGCTCCCTTTTGGATGACAAGAAATTTAGTTGCCTTTCCCCTTTCCCTCATAATTCCTTAAAGCAGAACTTTTAAAATTCACCTTTTTCCTTTTCAGTTTTGAGTCTGGGTGTTTGTTATTCAGTAAAGATTTAACCAAATATCAAGTGTACATCAGGCACTGTGCTTGATAGTCTTAGCACTCTTCTTCATTCTTGCAAACCATTCCTTAAACTTCCCCTTCTTAAAACTTCTGCTGTTCCTGTGTCTCTTTCATTCTCAAACTCCCTGGGAAAAAAACCCTTCCATGTACAAATTTTGTCCTGAGATACTCATTTTTTACCTGATTTTTCTGTACAAGGATGAAAAGACCAGCATGAATGGACAGAGAGGGCTGGACAGACAGGGCTGGGGCAAGAGGTCGGAATGCCTGGGAATACTCCTGTGTCCACAGGTATGCATCGCAAGTATGCAGTACAGGCATAATACCGGCCCTCACAGCAGCAGCAGCTCTCAGACTTGAGCAAACATCGGGGCAACAGATGGCCTTCTTTTGATTTTTTTAGTTTTCTTTGGTACTGAGAATTGAACTCCTGCCCTATGCCACTGAGCTATATCCTCAGCCCCGACGGCCTTCTTAAAACAGATTTTGGGCCCCACCTCTACAGTTTCTGACTTGGTAAATCCCAGCAGGTCCTGAAACTCTGCATTTCTAGCAGGCATAGGTGATGCCAATTGTGCAAATTGCTGATGTGCACTCTGAGAACCACAGTGGGCAGGGGGAGAGACAGAGACAGAGACAGAGACAGACAGAGAGAGAAGGCGGCAGGTCACCAATGAGCAGAAATAGATTTCCCATCAAGAATATATCTGCCATCTTATGTGGATAAATATGTTTTTACTTGATATTCTTCTGTTGATAATACCTAATGATAGGGTCAAAAGTGAAATACTTTTTTTGCATTGGCAGTATCAGGTGAAGGAAATGTGGAAATAGGTATCTGAAATGAATTTACTTGACTTCACAAAACTGTTGTAAGATTTCTCTGTACAGGGAAGTGAGGAAATACCTGTTAACTCTGTTGGATTACTCAATGGTTTCTTGCAGATGTAGGGTAGTTTAGCTTCACAGAAAATCATCTGCCATAGTCCAGACTCAGCATCCATAATTGCACAGCTTGATCCACCTAGTACAGGTGCACTTGGCATATCTTAAAAGGTAGGATTTCAGAGTTAAAAAAAGGTTGGCTCAGGAAAAATAACTCATAATTTCTGCCTTTATGGAAATGCATAGTAATGTAGTAATTCATTTAACACTTCTAAAATCAAAATGTATAAGCCTCAATGGATAATAATGTGTTTAAATATCTCTTTCTTCTAAACTATAAGACACAAAGGAAAACATTTTGCTATATCAGAGTTAATTTACAATTCAAAAGGAAAAAAAGCAAACCTCTGTTTCCAAGCAATTTTCCACCTGTGGCCAGTAGCTCTTAATCCGCTATTGTACAATAAATGTTTATAATATGATGAAGATAATAATATATGATTTTGTAAGATTCTGTAATGCCTTTAAGTCTTTCAAATAAAGATTAAATTAAGGGCTAGCAGTGCACCTCAGTGGTAGAGCACTTGCTTAGCAGGTGCAAGGCCCTTGCAAGGCCCTGGTGTACCTCCTCAGCCAGTGCATGTGTGCACACATGTGTGTGGGCACACACACACACACACACACACACACACACACACACTTTAAAGACTCTACTTACTGACATAATAGAGATTTATTTTCTAATAAGAAAATTTATTTAGCTAAATGACATTGGTATTTCATAGTAGATAACTCTCTTTTTCCTTATATGTGCACAGAATAGCTTTTTATTGAAAATAATCTGAATTTCACAGTTTTTATTTGCCACACTGTATTTTTTAAAAAGTACCTCATCCTTCCTTTTGGGGAAAAAGTTACTTTGGCTAAGTACGGTTTTATTTATTTCATTCACCACTAAGTTTTCTTTGATTGTATTTGAATAATGAAATATACCCATTATGTAGTCAATAACTGAGTGGCAGAGTGGGGAGACCTCAAGCTTTTGAAATGGAGGAATATTTCCACATTGGAGTTAAGCTGCACATGAAAAACTACATGGCTGAATCACAGTATGTCAAGTCCCTGCAAGACCTAGTGGCTCGTGGCCATGTGGTAGGGACTCATCCTTCTCTACCTAAAATTGAGGGCTGGGTGTCAAGGCCAAGGAGAAATCTCAGCAGCCAGCCCATAGTGTGGTCAACCATGCAATTAAGAATGGCTTAGGAAAATTTTTTTCTGAGAACTAACCACAAAATTTGTCATACTTGAAACTTTTATAAGCTCTCAGTGATTGGGAAGCCTTTGTTTTTTGTTTTGTTTTGTTTTGTTTTTGAAGCCTTGCCTTTTAAAGCTTTTACTCTGAGCAAAGCGGGTGGGGCAAGCGTATTACCTGGGTCCCAGTTGAGAAACTTTAAGGGCTTGTGGTCTGACCATTCCCAGCCTCTGGCAGAGTACAGCTGATTTAGTCCAATCCAGAATTTTTTAGGAATGCCTTCTTTTCCTGTAAGATTTACACAGTTTTTAAGTGACACAATTACCTAAGTTATCATCTCAATAAGACCAACTTTCTACTAACTGCACAAGACAAAGACAAATCAAAAGAAGACAGATCAAACCCCCACCCCAAACCCCGAAGGCCTTGACTACAAGCAGAAATCCCTGTAGTAGGCAACAAAGGCAGGCCATGCTGACAGACAACAAAACTTCCACTACTGAGAAACCCAAAGTCTCATAGGTTTGTTCAATTCTGTTTTACCATTAGCTTGTCCAATTCCCTTTTTTCTAAGGTAAAAATAGAATTGGTAGATAACTGTTTTACAGTCTATTTTTAACTCTTTTACAATAATTGAAGACTTACCAAAAGCAGTTTCCACTGTGCATCTAGATTTGGAGGATCTGATTATATTCTAGAACAACAGTTTAAACTCATGAAGCACATATTATTTGCCAGGCACTAGGAATATAAAAATCAAAATGACTAAACCCTTCTCCTTATAAAAATTTCAATCTAGTAGAAAGGAGTTGATACTGAAGTCCCCAAAATCCTAAAATATTTCTGGAACTGGGTCAGAAATATGTATAAGATCTGTTTTTCAGGCAATGCAATATACAGCAGTAGTGTCCAAAGTAACTCTTAGATTGGAGAAAAAGAATGAGAGTTACACATATGTGTGTGTACAGGAAACATGTATCAGTCGAATTTATTATTTGGCAACCAGATATCATCAGCAAAAAGAAGAATGAAAAACAGAGAAGCATAAATAATTTAAATATTGAGGCCAATTGCAATACACCATTCAGTGAGCATATGCTCACAAAATAGGGATGTGATCACATTTATATGGGTCCACAGATACTGGAAAAAGAATGTGTAAATGATTGTTGAGAATTTTCAGTATTGTCTATGAAGTCAACAGCATTGTTCAGGAACCTGCCAAGACTTCATCAGTATCCTGGAGGAAAAATTTGAAAAATTAATTAAAGGCCAGGTAGCAAAGGTAGAACAACTGACAGGGTGCTCTACCAAAGACAAGGAAGATGCTGGCAAACAGAGCAAGCTTTATAAAGGTTGGGATCTTTATAAATTTGTGGAACTATTTTCAGCAGTAAAACACTTCATAACAGTTTCTTAGTTCCTCCCAGGGAATTATGTATGATGTGTTATTACATTATATATCATATACATGTACATTATCGAAAACCATATCCATACTTTAAAGGGCTTTCCAAGGGTAATTTTGACTGCACATGACCTTTGTCTTATTGCAGACATTAGAGATCAAATCTTTACAATGTGACTTCTCTGGAACCAAAACCAGGAAGTGGGTTGAGGAGTAATAGCAGCAGCAAAGGTCAAGAGCAGTAACCAGATATCATGTTGGAGGGATGGCAGGAGCCTGGCAAGAGGGTGTTGGGGACAGCTACTTAACAAGGAGAAAAAGAAGAGCTCCAGAAATCAAGAGACAGCAGGAAAGTTGAAAATCACAGAGAAACATAAGACAGTGCAGAGAAAAGAAAAAAGCAGTCTCAAATGTCAACCCTGACTCCACAGGAGGAGAACCTGAGTCCAAAAACATAAGATGAATCCAGACGGCCAAGCAGCCCCAGTGACAAACAACGGACTGGCACCAGCCCTAGGACAAACCTACCATTTATTGTGAGCAGCAAACACAGTGCAGGGTTTTACTCTGACTGTGACTCCTACTGCGTGGCAGGCTAGCTTGGAAAAAGAAATCCAGTGCAGCACTTGCCATATTTAGGAGTAATGTAATCAGAAGCCAATTTGAGAAGGGGTCTATTGTGTCAACACTGAGCTACTCCAGGGAACCAGAAGTCACAGAACAAGTATGCCTCAGGGTCTTTGGGGTCACTCTCCTGCAGTGACTAGGTGAGAGATGGCCTCAGGAGATAGTCCTGGAGTGAGAGAGGGCTGGTCACAGACTCCCTGACAAGAGTAAGCAGTGGCAAGCTCAGGCGATGAAGAACATGGTGGTCCCTCTTTTTGTGGTGAGAACCCAGGCTAGTCATGTGTGGTTCCTGATAGGGCGGGGTCTGAAAGCACCGGGATTGAGTCCCGTGGACTGCGTGGCCTCCCATGTCACCAACTTCCAACACAAAACTCATGGTTCATTTGCTTTCCCCACCTGCTAACATGATTAGTGATACACTTCCGGTTGGATATTTTCAATGGTCTGAGGCCCTCTGGAGCAAAGGGGGCACCTCATGAGCCCACAGGCAGTGAAGCTAGCTGGGGACAGTAGTGGTTTTGTACACAGAAAGGCACAAAAATACTAAAAGCCTCTGAAGTGAGTACAACCGTGAGGCAGACAACATAACAACTAACTAGCCCTACCCACAGGAAAGGCGAGGCAGGACTGAGAATCCACACGACCCCAAGTGAGCACGGAAACACAGTATCACCCAACTGTGGCTCGCTGCCCTTTCCCCAGATCTGGTGCACTCCAGCACGATAGGTCCTGGAGAGAAACTACTCACTCGAGCACCTCAACAAGGAAGAATTTTTTGGACTCCTTTTTTTTTTTTTGTAATGTTTTGGAATTTCTAGTTTGTTTAGTTCTTTGGTTTTTATTCTGCTTTTCTTCTTTTTCTTGTTTTTTTCTGTTACTGTTACCTAAATATTTTTATTTGAAAAATTTTAAATTGGAGTTTTTACCTCATTTTTCTCTCATTCTCTTTTTCTTTCTTTTTAAAATTTTTAACTCTTCCATTTTTCTTTCTCCAGTTCATCCACTTATTATTATTTTTTTCCTGCAATAGATTCCCTAGTCTCACCCTGCTACTAACTATCAAACCTGAACATCACTGGGAAATAACATACTCCATTATGCTTTGCATATTCACAACTCTATTTCCCCAATCAGATCAGGTACTTGGGTTACAAAGTCTTTAATTGGTTCATTCTTGTTGGCATCAATACTCCTCGTCTAGTGTTTACACACGGCAGTTTGCTGTAAAGGGATACATAATAGAAATTTCTCAAAATATGGCTATTCTAAATTTTAAATTCTAAAGCACAGCTTTCTTGAGTGTTGAGAAATTCGCAAACATAATTAGGCATATTGATATGTCTAAACAGATTTTATACTGAAAGAAACTTGAAATATTAAAAACAGATGCACTTGTCAAATTTTTGATATACATAACATATGTGAAGTGTCTTGCCAGGGGTACTTTTCTGCATCTTCTCACTTTTATAGGTTATTAAAGAAAAAATTGATTCATTAAGAATCATGCAACATTCATTGATCCAAATGCATCATTAGATTTTCGTAGAATGGTGATAGTTACACTTTGACACTTTTCTCCTCCCTGAAATCATCATTTTCCAAATGTTGATATTCTGGGATACCTACATTTATTGGCACTTTACATTCTCAATGATATTTTGGTAAGGTTTTAGTGAAGTCTGAAACAGAATTCTATCAAACACTAGCCTATTAGATTTATTTGACAGATCTCCACTTCGAAGTTCTAATTATTTAACTACTGAACAACACACAAAGGATAAAGCTGTAAATAAGAAAGGAGGCTTGAATAAAACTTTAGCCAGATATCATGAAAAGAAGTTCAGTGGAATATCAATGATAAGAAAAGATACACAGAAAATTTCTATTTCTAAGCGTAATTTTTTTGATCTTGTGATGTGGTAGTGTAATAGGCAGTGGAGTTAGATAGAACTATTACAGCAGTCAGACAGGGCCAGGTCCTCCAAGGGGCCAGTATGGAAGACAAGATACCTTGCAAATAGAGAGACAGACACTTCTGCTTAGAGCCACACCTCAAGACAAAAGATTAAACAAAAGCACCCACATACCTCCCTAGGGATGGACACCTGGGATGGATATTATAAATAGGTAGTGATCACCTTGAAGAGTCACTGACACCACCCCCTACAGGAAAGCCCCTGTTCTGTTTTTCGTGCCCACTTGCTACATGACTTGTTTCCCCATTTGATCCCAATTTAATCAATTTTACCTGAACAATTACACTTGTAGTCTTATTGGCTGACCACAGTCTTATCCCACATCATGCCCACCTTGTGATTTCCTATTTTTCCCCCATCTTGGGCCCACCTCACCTCTTGGTTTTACTCTTATAAAAGTCCTTAGAAAAGACAGGTTCCTGGTCATCCACTCAGGTCCCCTTCTCTCAGTCTCTCGAATGGAGCTTTCTTTCCCTCAATAAATACATCTGTCTTAACCTCTGTTGTTCCTAAAATCTATTCTTCAGTTTTAGAGAACACCAACTCATCCTAGATATCTTTCAGGTTGGGAGTTTCTTTGCCCTATGTAAGTAGCAATGATTAACCCCTTTGGAGAAGAAGTCTTGCTCAAAGCACTTACAACTATGTAACAGAATTTACCTGAAATATTTGGTAACCAGGTATTTGTTTACTATATGCCACTAATGTTTAAAGTTTTGTGCTTAAAGTTAAAAAAAAAAAACCTAAACCATTTCTGCCTATAAAGAACTTGTAGTCTTATAAAAGGGGAATCCAGGTATATGCCTGATACAAGTTGTTTTTGTCAGATCAATTGTTCAAATTTAGGTCGTGCTAATTATTTGCAAGTGATGTTGGACAAGTTGCATTTCTTCTTTGAGCCTCGTAATAATCTTGTGCAAAATGAGCATAATAACAACATGAGGAGTGATAGGACATTAAATTTCAAAAACTTTATTACAATAAAAAAGACCTTATGGGATAAAACTATCCAAAATGAGGGGGAATATTTGAGGGGAATTGATGGCAATGTGACTTTTAATGAAATAAAATTTTAAATTTTAATATTCACTGCATTTTGCGATCACTTTATGTGTGTTATTCAAAGAAATTTTTGTCAAATGAAAACATTACAGTGTCCTTCTCCACCTTGCTCACTGAAGCTAGCACTATGTGACTTTTTGGTCTTCTCCAAAATAAAAAAATGACCATAAATGGCAAATGCTTTGAATGAATTGAAGCACTGAGGTTGCCACAACAGCACAGCTAAAGGCACAATTAAAGACTTCAACAACTGCTTCAGAAGAGGCAAGAATGAGGAAATAAGTGTTCAAAGTGAGGGGGAGTATTTTAAGTGGAGTTAATGGCAATGTTTCTTTTACTGTAATAAAAATTTTAAAAATTTAAATATGCACTATAAGTTTTGGTCACACCTTGTACCTAATCTCACAGGGCTATATAAGATTAAATGAGATAATATATAAAGAGCATTTAGTAATTTGAGTCCATTTCATCATATATTACTACTACTACTTTTCATTCAGAGAGCAAATTATTAAGGACTCAGAACTTAGGTTTTTGATTTTTAAAAATAGTATGAAATTTTTGTATAGAAACTTTATTTCTTTTGTATATAAATCTTTCTTTTAAGATTTTGATAGAAAAAGTTACAGAATTTCACTGGGCATGTAACAGAAAGGCATACCATTTTCATGGATGAGAGGACAACGTAGAAACAGCAATGCCTTCCTAATTTACCTATAATTCAATGCAATTCCAATCAAAGTCCTCATAGGTATTATCACTGGAATTACAAGGTGATCCTGAAATTCTTATGAAAGAACACATGAGCTATTTTTCTTCTTTGTCTATATGATCTAAATTTACATCATTAAGTATTTTTAAATTTCCACTAGTGTCCTACAAACAAAATAAAACAAAAACCTATCCATTCCATATAGCTATGTTAAATCCACTTTAAGATTTCTTAAAACTCTTTTTACCACTGAGGACTATTTCTTCATTGCAATGTGGGAACATTTTACTGAGGTTCTGCAGTGTGACAGCCATCTGCTTTATCTTCTTTGAATCTCTACTTCAAAGAGTTTAAAGTACACTTTTTGCCCTCATACCCTTTCACTTAGGACTGTTTTCTTTCAGAACATCAATCTCTGGTTTCCATCACAAGAAGTATTTTCCAATACATGAAATATGTGTACATTCAGTACTTTTTTTTGCTTATGAGGTTCAGTGTAGAAGTTTAAATCCCAAGAGAATCAGAAAAATATACATAAAACACCACTCCTGGACAAGAAAGTAGAAGAAAACATCTTTACCATTTCGACAATTTGCTCTACCACATGCAAGTTTAACTTACCTTTAAGATAAGTTAATTCAGCATCATTGTTGATGCTCAATAAGTCAGCTCCTTGACTCTGACATGAAACATAAGCTTCTTTCCAAGACAGAATTGCCTGCGTATTAAATTGGTAGCAACTTCCAGTCTCCTCGCTCTTTTCCCAGTTACCATCACAGCCACTTACTGGGATAAAAAGATAAGTTAGTCATCATAAAACAGGGTCATACTGCTTTCTATTACTTGTAATGCTTACAAGGACTGAGATTCAAATTGCATCGTCCTACGTAAGATATACCAAAACCAAGGCTGCTATTGCCTGTTTAGACTGTACTTTGATCCTTTAGTTTCACAGTAAAATTAAAGTGAGAGAACACGAAATGACTCAGGGTAATGAAAGTGAACACTCACCTTTATCCCCTGCGAGCTATAGTGGCAGGTTTTCACCCACGTCCCTACCTGTCCTCTGCTTGAAGGTACAAGTCTCAATGTGTACAGGTGCAGAACACTGAGCTAATGGAAAAGAAGCTTGCTTAAACATGGTGGCAGACTGCAGGGAGTTTCCCTACAGACTACAGAGAGGGGCTGAGGATTTAGCTCAGCGGCAAAGCGCCTGCCTGGCAAGCACAAGGTCGTGAGTTCGGTTCCCAGTACCGGAGAAAAACCAAAAAAAAAAAAAGAGAAACCAGGCTATGTAGGTGTGTGAACTAGACATATTTAATGCCCAAGATATACATGTGGCCATCTTATTTCAGAAACCAAATTTCTTTTTATTTTAATAATTAAATGCATATCATAAAACTCATGTATGCATATATATGCATACATATGTAGATTTATAAACATGTATGTACATTATATGATATATATCATGCATCCTTTAACTGATATGTAAAAGTATATGAAATTTTAGACAAAGAATCTTCAAGCTGTCTCCTGGATGAGTTAAAGAGTATTGAAACAACTGGTTAAAAAATATACTCAGGTCTGGAAAGTCTGAGTTTGATTCCCAGTACCTCCTACCCATCAAATACTCAGAACCTCCCAAGTGCTTCCAATAAGAAGGAAAAAGCAATGCATGCTGTGTCACGTGCATCCTGGGGTGGAAGGTGGAGAGTTTCACAGGGCCTCCCATAACCAGCTACACATCAGATGGTAGAGTCATGGGCCTGTATGCTGGAAAGGCCCTTGCAGACTCTCTTGTTGAATGCCTCATTTCACAGAGAATAGAAGTCAGGTGTTTGAGGCACAGCTATAATCAGAGCACTGATCTCCTCTGTTGCTCTTCAGAATGGCAAACTCTGCCTCTTCAGCCACTTTTCTAGGGTGTAAATAACAACAGAGGCTGTGACATTTGGTGAAAACAAAGTAGGGTGAATTTGTAGGCACACTGCCTAGAGGTTCATTATTACTACTGAGGCGCTCTGCTTGAAAATCCAGAAGCTTCTAGTAGGATGGCAGTGTTTGCTATGCAACACAACCTCCACAGTTCCACAGTCTTCAGGTTTGAGAAACTTACAATCTTGCTTCTTGCATGACAAGTAACTCTGGGGCTGTGTGAATATGTTAACAATACCTACCCTACTACTGAAAGGAAGTTAAAGGCCCCAAGACATATTCCAGTCAAGGCAGCAAGGCAGAGTACAGTAAATACACTGGGGAATGAGGATTAGGAATCCTTGTTTTCTGCCAGGGTCCATTGGAATGTGGCCTGATCTTCCCAGATCATTCTATCAACTTGAGTCTGCTATCTCCTACCTGAGAAACAAGGGTTTTGCACTAGATAATTCTAAACTCCACTTCCTATCCAAAATTGCTGACCCAAACTTATAGTGAGAGTTAAATAAAATAATTACATGTTGATTACATTCTGCTTGTCATCAATTATAGCTGAAGCAAATATTGGCTTTTTATATTTCAGTAGCTTCCAGATATAGAAAACCTGGGCCTCAACCTAGATACACAATTCTCAAATTGCAGTCCTGAGATCAGCATTACAATTCTTATCCTGAGATAAGAATTACATGGGAACCTGTTAAACTATAAATTACTGGGCTCCACCCCAAATTTACAGAATAAAAACCTCTAGAGGTGGGACCTAGCAATCTTCATTCTAACAAACCCTCCAAGTGAGCCCACTGTCCTGAAGTTTGAGACACTGTCCCAGTATAACCTCTTCAAGTTCAGAACTCTGCAAGTTGAAGGTCAGATTCCAGAATGGAAGGATCAGCATTACTAATACCAGCAGGCTTTCTACTCTGTAGGGAAGGATAGTTAGCTTTCCATGGCAAGCGCCTCATAGCCAGATTTCCTGGGCCTGTATCCTAGCTCTGATATTTATTAGTTTTGTGACCTAATGTCAGTCATGTAATTCACATGTGCCTCACCATGCTTATCTGTAAAATGAAGGTAAATCATAGTACCTACCTTATAGGATTGCTGTGAGGACTGAATGACTTAATACATATTGAGAGCTTAGAATGGTGCCTGGTACATATAAATATTAACTCCTATTATTTAGGTTTGGAGCGCTGTCTTTTTTCTCTTTGCTATAGATTCTTTCAACCTGTTTAATATTGAATAATATTTCTTAAGCCCCTGCCACCTGTCATGTATTGTGATTCCTTGTAATTCTCACCTAACTGGTAAGATACTGTGTCACAGTGATATATCAGAAATGTCACATCATCTATGTTGGTCTCTTTTTGTCTGTAAAAAGAACAGTGAATTCTTTAGCACACCCTGAATAGTTTGCTTCTAGTAAGAAACAACTAGAAAGAGTGTTCTGATCAACACACAGGCATGACAGAGTGAACAATGTCAATTTTGAGAGGGTCAAGAATATCTGTCTCTTTTTTCTTAGCTTCAGGCCTTAAAAATACTTACATTTCTACCATTTTAAAAGTATTTTATCAACCTGTCTCCTCCCCACCATGCTGTTCATCTTTTTCTCTCCATGAAATGCATAAGGTTAACTTCCTTCTGCTCATACTTTAGTTCACTGTAACTCAGTTTTTCCTCCCATTAGTCTTCCGAAGCTGCAATTTCCTAACTGCTAGTGTTCTGAAATTCAAATTTCCTAACTTCTCATGCCTTTTCCACTTCACCCTGAGGTATGTGTGCTATCCAATTCTTCCCTCCTCTGTGTCTTCCATGACACAAGCCATCTTGGTTTTCCTCTTGACTTGCTTCTGAAAGCAAATGGAAAACTACACATTATTTCTCTTTCCTTTTCCAAACATACACTCCTTATCTGGGATACTTGCTACAATCACTTTTGAGTAATCTTGAACTCTTCACTCTCCCTTTTGCCTCATATAAATGGTACTATCTTCCTTCTAGATATAAAGCTTACCAGCCCATACATACCTGGTTTTAAGCAGATGCCCCACTTTTGGTCATATTCATAATTTAAGGTGGTAGCACACCATGGCCCACCACGATCTTTGTCAAGAATGCAGTCATGATGCCATGTCCCTTTAACTAAAAATGGAAATTCACAAGGTCTCCCATAGGAGTTTCCATCTCTGGTATATATCTCTGCAAGTTGGGAAGGAAGTAAATAGAAGGAGAATTAAAAACTGGGTAATCACTTCAGCTTGTCAATTCCTAAAACTTCTTTTAAAGGAAGTGTTGTTTCCACTTATGACAACATGGTATTGAGTAGGCTGCATGGTACAGAAAGAACATGGAAGCTGACTGTTCAGGTCTGGGCTTCAATGCTGGTTTCCCCATTAACCCCCATTGGCTGTGGGCAAGCTAGCCAGCTTCTATTTGCCTTAGTTTCTGCATTCACTGGGGATAATGAAGATTATTTATGAGGAATTGGTGAGATATTCCATGCAAAACTTTTCATTGTGGTGTGATGAAGTGTTAAAATATCCTAGCTTGCTCAAATAAGGATGGACAGCAGAGTACTTCACCAGAAAGGGTATCCTGACTGGGATTCAATTCATCTCCATTTCTTTTAGTAATGTGGGCCAGAGCAATACCTGAGAATCACTAAGGGGGTATGTGTGGATGTGTGGAACCATCTGTAGAGTTAGAGAGATGGACAAATAGCTCTGCTGCTTACAAGAATTTAGACTGTGGGGTTTTGAGGAAGTGAAAGGAATAGCTAGAATCCTGCGTAGGCTCCTGGAGAGGTTAGAGCAGAGTAATTTATGTTATGAAAGAAAAACCAGCCTCAAAAGGTCAGTTGTAGGGCCAGCTAATGACCAGAGAAGCAGCATATTTAGCTTTTCATTTAAATCATTTTCTCCTGAGCTCGGAAGTATTGAAAGATGATTCCAATAGAAAATATGCCTGAAAATGCTGGAGGAATGCTTAATGGTTAATCACTCTCTTGAAAAAGTTTTTATAGAATAATTGTTTCTGTAACCAATTCCTGTATGTCAATTTGTTTAAAAACCCTGGTCACTTTCAGATCAAATAATAGCTATTATGTAAATCATAGTCATCAAATCTCCCTTTACACTTTACTGGGCTACCAGACTCCCTCAAAATGTCTCACAGATTTTTAAAAAAACGTGTTTAAGACAGTATTTGATTCTACATCCTTAATTATTCTCAAGAGTTCATCTAACTGAAGTGTGAGACTTAATTTAACAGGTTGGAATGTATTATGCAGCAATATAACAAAAGGTAAGAATAATCTAGATGTCTTTTGTTTGAAAACAATGTCTTAAGGATCAAACTCCTAAGGTTTTTTTTGCCTATGGCACATAAAAGGCTTTGGAAAGGGTACTTTTACTAAAGTGTATGCTTACCTTCTGTTTTATAAGGATTGAACTCATCACATGTTTCATTTCTGACCACACCAAAAAAATCCCAAGAACTCATGACTGGTTTCCCTTCCCTGTTGCAACACTAAGAGGATCATACCTGAGCACAAGGGCTGTGACGTGCAGGACCACTGGGTTTTTTTCTGCAAGAAAACCTTTCATCTCTGTAATAGGCCTTTCGTATTACATTTCTTTCACTTGCTCTTTACCATAAACCTGTGGGCTGAGTAGGGAAAGTACTAAACTTGTGTGTGAAATCCCCATTTTTGCAGAGTAGTGAAGAAAGGGGCTGGGGATTTAGCTCAGCGGCACAGCGCCTGTCTGGCAAGCGCAAGGTCATGAGTTTGGTTCCCAGTACGGGAACTCCCTCCCCGCCAAAAAAGACCCTGTCTCAAAAGGAAAAAAAAAAAAAAAAAAAAAAAAAACAAAAAAACCCAAAAGACAAAGCAGAGTAGTGAAGTGAAATACTGTGTTCCGTGACTCAGCTGTGAGTGACGGTGATGATGACTCTCTGACTGTATATCAAGGACAAGTTTGCAACCAGTGCTTGCATTCTCAGGATATTTCTTTTTAAATTTTTATTTTTATTAGTACATGTCTGCAGTACATAATGATTACATTCACTGAGGGGAGTTGGTTCATGTACATATCACATCTTAATTCTTTTTATATCACTGTCTCCATTCTTCCCTCCTTCTCCCTCCATAGCATAAAGCTAAGTTTCATTGAAAAGCTCAAACTTTGAAGAATGACAAGAAAACAACAACAACCACAAAAGAAGCAAGTGAGTGATGCCCATTACTCACTAAGAATTGTATTTCCATTCATCCTTGCTATTGTTGGACCTCCTGAATCCCATTGGTTTCCTAAGTAAGTCGGGTTTCAGAGGAGAATCTTCCCTAAATGTACTGATTCAGGGTGATAGCATCTTTAACACGACAACTTATTATGTAAGCACAAATCTGTGAGATGGTGTTTATGGGGAAAAAAATAACTTCTTCAGTAACATCAAAAAACAGTTTTGATGGTGAAAGAGGTCAGCAGGTTTCTGAGCATCATGCCAAAAGTAGTTAAGATGGTTCTCACCACCATCTTTCCACCAAAACTCCATTTCCTCTGCGTGATTCACCTTTCAAAATTTAAAGAGTGATAGTCATGCCAAGCTATTTTGTGATAAAAATGCATATCTAGATACTAATCAAAAGCAGTTCATTTATAAAGCTTACATAACTAAAGCTTTTTCTGAGATGAACATAACTCATACAGGATAGGGTTGGGGGAGGAGGAAATCCAGGGCACAATAATAAATAGAGGTTCATATATTAGAAGTAAAAATTTTTAGACTGCAAAAGTGAAGAGGGGAAATAAAGACACTATATTTGGGGGACAGAAACCCTGGCTTGGATCCTTAGCTTTGCTCTAACAAGCTGGGTAACCTTGAACTTCACTTTATTGAGACTCAAGTATCTTACTTTCCTTTTTTCTATACAGGTACACAAGGGGTAGCGCAGGAACCAGTATCAGGAATCAGAGAGTAGTCCTAGAGAAGGCACGTAATAAGCAGTCCTGAATAGGCAGGGGCACACATAAAATTAAAAGGGTAGAACTGCTAATATTTAATATTTGATTCAATTTGAACAACGGGGGAAGAAAGCAGGAAAACTCGAGGCTGTCTTGTTTATTTGTGATATATACGACTTGGATGATGCCAGTCACCTAGAGAAGAGCAGGGAAGAGGTGGGAGCTTTGGCTCTGGCCTTGTGCAAATTAAAACAGGAAGTACATCTCGACTAGCCAGAACTATGTGGGCCTTTTAAAAAATTTAATGCTCCAAATATTAGATGTGGAAAGGTATAGAAATACATTCATGCCTGTGGGCTGTGTGGGGCTCAGGTTAGTTCTCTCTTGGGCCATGCTTAGGTCGGTCCTTAGCCCTCACTTTGACTGCTGTGTGGCCCATGGACCCCTTTTGGAGAAAAGTATTATAAATGCATAACTAAAACACACAGGATAAAAAAGACAGCTTATATTGAAATGAAGATACTTTGGAGACTGAGGGAGTTTAAGATGATAACTGTACCCACAAAATAACTGAGGGCAGGAAAATTAAAAAGCCCTGCCGAGAAAATGATCTGTTCTGATCCCTGAACAAATATAATAAATCAAGTTAAAACCAAGTTCCAAAACCATTGTTCTGGGATCTGTGTTTCCTCCTAGTTGCCACCTTAGAAACAGAAGTTTATAGCATGAAATTTAAATGTGGCATTAAGTGGTATCCAGAAAACAACAACTTTAAGTACAGGAGGGAGCTGGCTAGCAGAAACAGATCTGTTTAATTACACAAAGGTCAAGGATGAAAGCAAAAGAACTCTCCACCTGTAGTATTTTTCAATTAACAATAGAACCAGATATTCTCAGAAGATTTTCTGGCTTTTCCCTCAGAAACAGAAAGAAGTTCCTCCAGCAGAAAAACTCCTGTAGATAATGGGCAGAAGTTGTTATCCTGAATCTACAGCCAAGCTTAGTTTAAATGAGCTTAAGGCAAGAGGAAAACCTCTGTAAGCTGTATACGTTTTAAAGAGAAGAGTTAGATAATAGGACTCAAGATAATTACATATATCAACATTTTACTTAGAGGAACACTGAGAAAAGATTTGCTTGGTTGACAGCTAATTAATTTAGCGGTTAAAAATATATCTATCTATTCTTTTTAAACTTGGAAATTCATTGAAACCTGGTCCCTAGACTCAGAGCAAAGGTGATGGTAATACTGTATACTTATTTTGGGGAGCAATCAAGAAAAATTCCACTTTTAAAGTGTTGAATCATAAATACAAACATCAACATGTCATAGCCATGCCAAAAATGAAAATAAAACACCTGTCAGAAACTTTTAAAATATTCCAATTATATCAAAACAGCTAGGCAAAGAAGAATACATTTCTTTCTTCTTTTTAAACTTAGGATAAGATCAGTATTATTAGATCATCTGTCTCTTAGCATGTACAAAGAGTTTCTGTTAATCTGACATTTCCTTTCTCCTAGAGCTTAGAATGTTATTATAGGAATACGTTCAGGTGTCACATAAATTCAAATCCCCGGTTTACTGTGACATGGCTGTGCCACTGTTAACAAGGCACTTAACCTCTCCCAGCCTCGCTGGGAAGGGATGAGGGTAGGGCAACTATACATACCTCAGTGGTAAGAATGTATCCCAGAGTAACTGCACAGTGCCAGGAGCTGAACAGCCTGCTCACTGACCTTACCAGTGCATGGCTTTATTTCTCCTCAGCTGTGCACGTTCAGTGCCACGTTTACCAAGCACAACAGCAAATCAGTCAAAGTTCCTCTCCAGTACTCACCGTGGTAAGGCTGGTCACAAAGGCTTTCCTCAGAGCCTCCTTTCTTCCAGACATCAGATGTATTTGTGCTGGCTATGGCAAACCCATCCTTCAGAGCCAGCCTGTACTGGGAAGCTCCATACAGAGAGTAGTGGTCACACTTCCACCACAGCATGGCCTTAGAGTCACAGCTGAACATTCTCAGGGCATCCACAGGCTGGGGAACATCCAGACCAAGGCACTTCTGGGATTGTAAGTGGAAGAGTCGATGCTGGGACACCCACTTCCATAACATATCCCCAGTTTCTTCACAATCCTTTGCTACTATCCAGTCATACAGTGGCTTGATGCACTTGCCTGTGTTTTCATTGACAATGGTGAACGTATCACTACCTGGGCCAAGACAGAGTAAAAGGAGACAGTTCAGGATTCTGAATTATGTGGCCACATTGCCTTGCTCTTATTGCTGCAGACAGTCTGAGCACTACTGGACTGCTTCCACCCTAGGAATTTGATTAACTGTAATATCTACACAAGAAAGGAGATCAGTAATGGCCAGAGGAGGCAATGCAACGTGCGTCAGAGCATGGGCTTTGGAGTCAGTCTGCCTGGGCTCATAGTCTGCCTCTGCTCCTACATATCAGCCATGAGATCAGGGCAATGTATTTGACCTCTGTTGGTACCTACTTCACACTGTGGATGTGAGGATAGGTGGAGCTAGTAAATGTAAAGCATTAGCAGTAGTACGTATATTTAGTTTTGCTATTCCAAGAGAGGTATATCATTTATTTAGTAGGGTAAGGAAGCTATTTTGCTTTCATCTTACTTAAACAAGTGGTCTGTGGACAATGAAAAATATGGGACTGCAGCCTACTTGGGACCATAGCTCTGTCTTGCTTATATTTTAGCCACCATGGCAGAGTATTATTATTACATGGGAAATGTCTCATTCTATGTTCCTTCCCCACATCCTAGTATGAAGTCAGGCCTTTGTGTTGCTCTGCTTCAGGTCAGTCTGATAATGCAAAAACAGAATCTGCTTAAAGGCTCCCTCACCTAGACCGTTAGTAGAAGCCTGACTCACTGTGATGTCTCAGGGGAGATGGGGAAACAAGAGAAGGCAGAGGTAGAAGAGAGGGGTAAATGAGTAACAGGGAATACAGGTCTTGGTTTTGAGGGGGGGGGAGGCTATGACCAGTGACAGGAAGCCTGCATCACCTGCAGGAAGGTAGTAGGACCTGGGGAGAGGGTGGGGAATGACTTGTGAGTCACCCTGAGCTCCTGAATCCTCGGAATCACCAGATTACAGCATGTTCAGGTAATGGGAATCTCAGAAGAAACTGGTGGAAGCTGAAGACAAAGACACCTTGGAACTTTTCCAGGCACTATATGTGAGCTGGGGAAGAACCCGAGGATGGTAGAAACTGAGATTCTGTCCACCTGGTGGAACAGAAACCAGAATCAAATTTAATTTGATTTTTCTAAAAGTAATGCATTGTTTCTCACACTCTTGAATTTGTAGAGCAAGATTCACATCTGTTACAACAAATTATAATTGAACAATTTCATTGTTGTTTTTTTTTTACAAAGACATGAATTAAAAGTTACAGCACAGACCATAATGATAATGGCAGTAAACGTAAAATATTTTAGAGGACACTGTCAATGAACCAGAGTTCAATGAAAAAACCTGAAAATTTTGGCTTCCAAAAGCCACTTTCATTTTAATGCCAGCTTCACAATCACTGATCATACCAACTGTGAACATTTACTCTAATAATAATTCATAGGCTTTAGAAGAGTTAAAAGTTCTCATACAGGGAATGGCAACTTTACGGGAAATTTTACCATGTCAATAACTACAACATTAAATCTGAGTTTGAACTTTGGATGGAATTTTTTGTTGTTTTAAATAACAGCAGCAAGATCATGAAGAACAAAAATACCTTTAATGATTTAAATTCTGCTTTCAAATTTTAATTCCAGAATATTTTATAAGGTTGCAGCTAAGTACATTGGTATAGCAGCATTCATCCTTCATTTTCTCCATTGAAAACCCTCTGCAATTCTCTCCTTGTTGGTCACAGGTAAGGAGATGGTCAACCAAAAGGGGAGATACAGTATTTTATGACTCCCACACATTCTCTAACTTTCTTTGCTCACACATTCAGCAACTCTTCAGCCTCTGATCTATCTCTTTTCCAAACTATTTCCTCTTACCTCTCCAAAATAAATCTTGTGTTCCAAAGTATCAGGAATTATAGCAGAAAAAATAAATCTGCTCCTGCAAGAAATGTAACCATCACTTTTGTTCAAAACTTGGGCACTCTGGTCTATGACCCTTAACCCCAAACAGGTGGCTTGGAAAACAGTAACTTTGCCTTTCTTTGCCTTTACATTTTTCAAGCTGCCTTTGTAGAATTCAGTGGATTAGATACAGGTTGCAGTGTTGTGGAAAGAGTAGTGGAGAAAGGAATGAGGGAGTCCTTGGAGATGACCTTTGTTACCAGTTAGCTGGGAGAACTTGGTGAAGCCACTTATTCTCCCAAGTTCTTCCTATGTCTAAATGTTAGAAGAAAGCAGTGGAGTATAAGATATCTAAGTCACTTCCATAAAACAACAGTGTTCTTAGCCTTGCAGGTTTTACTAGCTTTTGCTAAATTTGTTCTTGAACAGATGCCCACAATTTCATTATACCATGCTACTGCTAGTAGTGTTTGAGATTATTCTAATATCACTTGTATTGGGCATGTGCAGTTAGATGACAGCTTTACAAATGCTCTTTGGAAGAGGAACAAATGTACTCCTTCCCATTTTCTGCACATGCTCTAATTCTGGAACACTTGTGGACTTCGCTGGTAAGAACTAGACTAGAACAGTGGTGTGGAGTAGCATGGAGTAGTAATGTTAAGGAGAAGCTGCCAAATGTCTTAAAACCAATGTCTATAAATGTAGATACTGTACTTGCCTCAGTGTAAGCCTGTGTTTTGTTGTTGTTGTTGTTTTTTTTTTTTTTTTTTGAGACACTGTCTCACTCTGCAGTTCAAGCTGGCCTTGGACTCACTATGCAGCCCACGCTGGCCTCAAACTCATGGAAATTCTCCGGCCTCAGCCTCCCAAGTGCTGGGATTACAGGTGTGCACCACCATTCCTGAGGTAACCTTGTGTTTGAATCGTGTAATCAATACCAATGTTTGACACTTACACTGCTCACTCAGCACAGGTATTCATTATTAAGATGATTTAGGGAAACTTGTCATTAGCCTTCATATATAATGTGTGTATAAGCACTCATGCATAATGCATTAACTAGGGAGGGGCTTGTTCTCCCATTATGTTCCCCTGTCTTTCTTTACTCTTAGCAGAAGCGGTTCAGTCTGCCTCAATCTTGTGGTCTCTACCAAGTGTGCAGAGTGCACAGGTGCAGGAGGAGAGGAGCAGAAGTCTGGCCTCAATAGTTTGAGAACAGGTCTTGAAGCGACAGTTGGGTCCCTGGAAACACACTAGGAGTCAAAAAGCCTCAGTCTTGTGACCCTACTGGGATAGGAGGCTAACGATGGGGAGGATTAAGAAAGTATAAAAAGAATTCTTTATGTAGAAAATTTGTTATATAAGGAATAAGGTAATGTATTTTAGAAATACATTTTGAGAACACAATTACAGAGAGATTTTATAAAATATTTTTATTGGTTGCCTCATCACACCTAGAAGCACTTCTTGTTATTCATTTTATATCAATATTCCAGTGGTGCTTGAGAGAGAATGGTTAAGTAGTATTATCATAAATTGAAAGTGAATTTTTAGTATTTTTACATCTATCAAAGAAAAAACATCTCTCTGTATTTTATTACTATCTGATCACTAGTAAGTCCTGTCTTACAAGCCATAGACCAAAGAACCCTGCAACAAGCTGGATGTCGACATGTTATGACCACAGACCAATGGGAAGAGAAATGGCTTGGGAAGGCAATACCGTTGAAGATCACAGTGTTGATAATTACAGGGGACTTTCACAGCCCACTCTTTAACTGTCTTGTGGTCTCTACCAAGTGTGTGGAGTGCACAGGTGCAGGAGGAGAGGATCAGAAGTCTGGGTTCACTAGTTCTAAAACAGGTTCCAAAGTGACAGTTGGGTCCCTGGTGATACAACAGGAATCAAAAATCCACCAGCCCAGACTGGGTGTTCGGGCAGCTGAGAAGCTCAGGAGTCCCTGAAAGCAGTTAGCTTCCCAAGCAGCAAAATATAAACTAAGCATTTGGCATCTCCCCAAAGACCACGAAGTGCTCCTTCAGCATTTCGGTGACCAAGACCACCTGCACGCTCCTAGTTGCATTCGCATGACAAGGTGCACGCCATCACTAGCATCATGAAGCTGACACACTGCCAAACACGCTATCCAAACAGCTGGGTGTTTGAAATCCCACAATTTCCCTAATAAGGGTACATATCTGGTCTGAGGGAGACAGAAAGCCACCCAGAGCTGCTGTTAGGTGTGAGGGAGGATACAGGGAACAAATGCCTGCGGCATGCAGGGCAGGGAGAAAAGAGTTAAGCCTCATCCTGTTTGCTTTGGGTCAAGAAGACAGAACAGAGACAGCAGAGTTTGTGCAGATTAAACTTTGAATTTTGTGGAGGAGACATAACAGGACTAAAACAGAGACATCCATGAGGATGTCTCTACGTTGCCTTTGCTGATTTCAGCTGCCAAGGCTTCTGCAACCGCTCCATGCCTAACCTGATTGTCCTCTTCCCAGGCTCTGGTCTTCCAGATGAGTAGGTAGAGCAAACATGTACTACGATAGGAACTGTGCACCTCAATTTCCTCCTGGAAACCAAGAGGGGAGTGAATGAAAAGTTAGCTTGGTTCCCCTGTAGTTAGCTGCTGCAGAGATCTTTCTCCTTGAATTGCAGGGCAGGCAGACTAGACCTCACAGCAATAAAGGACTGTATTACTAATGGCTCTTTTGGCAGTTTCTGACACAGAGAGTCAAAGGAGAATGGAGAATAGGTAGACTAGGGTCCATTAAAAGATTCTTGAAGTGGACAAGATGATGCCACCCACACTCTGAGAAACTTCTTCCCATCACTCTCTGAAGGCAGTCTAAACCAGACAGTAACTCGGCTGCAAAGAAAGTAAGTGTCACAGTGTATGTTTTTCAAAAACTTCCTGGCCATCTTTTCCTTCCTCATACCGGCAAGATAACAGAAGTTATGGGTGGGGAGGGCCATATATTGCCCACTGATGCAGGCAGACCAAGAAACAGTCCTGGCACACTTTCTGCCAAGGCAAAAAGAGAAAGTAAAAGCAAAATCCATTTGCTGCTAAGGGGCACGGTAGGGCTGGTACCACCCTTAGCATTAGCAAAGGGCTTTGGTTGCCAATGAGAAGCAG